AGGGGGCTAGCGGAGTAGCAGCAGATCTCAAGCGCAAACCCTAAACCCTCGACCCTAAACCCTAAACCCTAGACCCTCATGAAGATCTGAGTGACGGGAAACCCTCAACAAGCACTTCCAGAGGCCCGGGGCTGCGGTGGGTCTGGGGCTGATCAGCGCATGCAGGGGGGGGCCGAGAGTTTCCCTTCCTTTGCGCTTCTCAGATCGAATTGATTGCATTTAAAAGGACAAAAATTACATTTAAAAACTAAATTGATAAATTAAACTCATCTAGAAGAGTCCAACGAGCGAGGAAAGAACCAAGTCGGAGAAGCAGGGGCTGACAACCCCAGACACCGACTTGCTGCAGTGTCTGTACACCGCATACAGCAGCAACACACCCACCCTAAATAAAGACAAAACACAAATAAAAAACATTTCTGGCCATATGGGGCCCCACGAGCTGTTAAAGAGGGAAAAAAGGGTCTGGGGGGCCCCCTTGGGGGCCCTTTTGACTGGGGGTTGCCGCCTCAGGCGGCTCGGGATAGATTTACCCGGGCTTATATTTATGAGAAAGTCTTCTTTAAAAATAAAAATATATTTTTTATTATAAATGTAAAAGTATATACTTAAGAAGGCCCGTGTACCTGTCTACACGCATGCTCTTGAGTCTATGCATGCGCATTTATACAGCCATAAATAGGTATATAAATATGAATATACACACATAAATAATATATATATATAGATATATATAGATATAGGTATATACACATAAATGCGTGTATACACACACAAATATATACAAACAGGTATAGAAGTATGAATGTGTATAAACATACATAAGTAATATATATGTAAATAGGCATAAAAATATATGCCTGTTTATTCACATATAAATAATATATATAAATAGCTATATAAATACACATGCGAATATATATAAATAATATATATATAAATAGGCATATAAATATATGTGTGTATATATATACGTACAAATGTGTATCCAAGTGCGAGTCCGCGTAGCCACGCTAAGCCAGCAGTTCTTTTGAACTGCATTTACGCATTTGTGAGTCTGGAGCGAAGCAAAGGTCCAAAAGACCTCCCCCGCGCAGCAGTAGCAGCACGCCTCCACTGCAGCAGCAGCAGCAGCAGCAGCAGCAGCAGCAGCAGCTACACAGGGGCCTCTGGGTCTGTTTCAAGGGCAAAAACCCTCACTATTCGTTTCGCCAGGGCCTCCCCCAGCCGTCTTTCACCGCAGCGGCCGGCCACCAGCAGCGCTGCCAGCTCGGCCTGCAGCAGGGGGGCCCCCCCCGGGGGGGCCCCCGGCCGGGGGGCCCCCCCGGGGGCCCCCCCGGGGGCCCCCTGGGGGGCCCCGCGGGGGGCCCTCAGCTGGGGGGCCCCCGACGCCGCTGGGTTTCGGCGCTTCCTGCTGGTGGGCGCGCCTGGCGGGGAGGCCCCGCGACCGCCGTCTGCAGCAGCAGCAGAAGCTGCTGCTGCTGCTGCTGCTGCTGCTGCTGCTTCGGCCTCTGCGCGCTCACAAAGAGCAGCGGGAGAGGGGAAAGCAGCAGCCACAGCGCATGCAATCTCTTCAGACACCCCCGGAAGCTGCAGCAGCTGCTGCTGCCACCAGCGCTTTAGGGCCTCTGGCTTCGTGGGGCTGGGTCCTGCTGCGTGGCTGGGGGGCCCCCCGCTGGCTGCGGGCTCTGCTGCTGCTGCTGCTGCTGGATCAGCAGCAGCAGCAGCAGCAGCAGCAGCTTCTGCTTCCTCTGTGGCCGAAGCAGCCAGCCGGCGCAGCTTTCCCCGCGGCAGCAGCCGCAGCTGCTTAATTCCTGCTGCTGCTTTTGCCAGCCGCCGCAGCAGCGCTGCTGCTGCTGCTTCGTCGGGCTCGTGGGCTGTGTCTGCGCCCCACAGCAGCAGCAGCTCGCAGACCAAAACGTCTAATGCTGCCAGCAAGTCCCGCGAGCGCGGCTTCTTCCTACCTGTGCTGCTGCTGCTGCTGCTGCTGCTGCTGCTGCTGCTGCTGCGGCGGCCGCCGCCGCGTTTGCTGCAGCTGCCCGCTGCCTCCACGGCAGCAGCAGCAGCAGAAGTTTCGGCGCACTCCCCCGAAGTCTGCGCAGCCGCCTCCTCAGCGTCCGCCGCCTCCGCAGCAGCAGCAGCAGCAGCAGCAGCTGCTGCTGCTGCTGCTGCTGCTGCTCCCGTGTCCCCTTCTGCAGGCAAAGCTGGCTGTGGGGCCGTCAGTGCTGCGCGAGTCCCCACAAAGAGAACTAAAATTCGGGCGTGGGGCTCGAGGGCCCTGAGGGCCCCCACTTGGAGAGCAATTTGCTGCCAGGGTCCAGCAGCAGCAGCAGCTCCTGCAGCAGCAGCAAGCGCTGCTGCTGCAGCGCGGGCGTCTGCTGCTGCTGCTGCTGCTGCAGCGCGGGCGTCCCCTGCTCCAGCGCGGGCGTCTGCTGCTGCTGCTGCTGCTGCAGCGCGGGCGTCCGCTGCTGCAGCAGGACCCTTCCAGGGGCCCCGGGGGGCCCCCGGGGGCCCCTCCAGGTCCTGGTAAAGAGGCAGCAGCAAAAAGTGGCAGGGGCCCCGCTCGCGCTGCTGCTGCGGGCCCTGCGGTGTACGTACACCCCAAGCAGCAGCAAGACGGCGCCGCGGGGCCAGCCGCTCAAACAGAGACACCAGAGGCAGCAAACTTGCCAAGACCAACACAGAAGGACAGGCTTGCTGCAGCGCCGCCACTCTCTGCAGCAGCAAACTGTCTTCCAGGGGGGCCCACCGGGGGGCCCCCCCGCCGGGGGGGGGCCCCCCAACCGGCGCCGCCTCCAAGGGGCCCCCGGGGCCCCCGGGGCCCCCGGGGCCCCCAGGGGCCCCGC